CTCTATGGGATAATGTTGCAACTACTTCTTTGTAAGCCCCTCCCTGTAGGTAGCAATACCTTCAAATAAAGTTGCTATGGTTATCTGTAACTTTGAACAATTATTTAACCCTTTCTGCAACTGGGCACTTTTCCACTAGTTTTAAGTTGCTTTCCCCATTTTATTTCAAATATATATTTACATTTGAATCATAAAATGATACTGGAAATGAGAAATACACTTCCTTCTTTTGCAGTGGTGGTGGTACTGGGTGGGTCTAATTTCTGGAGATGTTAACGATGCTTTGAAATAAAAAAGCAGATTACTAATTTCTACAGTTATTGGTCATGTTCTTCAACAGAGGAAAGAAGACAATGAATTTTAGCCATACAATTTAAGGAAACAGCATGGTGAGTATTCTTATTGGAATGTTGCAGTTGTTGGCTAGAGCCTGGTATTACTGTATTCCATTTGCAGCTTGATAATATTATTTCTAAAGGCATTATTTGAGCCTCAAACGTCAATTTAAAAACAACCAATGGCATCTAGTAGTGGAAGTCAGTTTTATATTATAACAGCATTGTGCTATAATATACACCCCTTCCCAAATATGATTTATGCTCACACACGTTATCTCACTACCTGTTACATATGTATTGTGAGTCTCCGAAATGATATTATTTTTTTTTCCGTTATAAAGTGGTAGCCTCGCTAAAAAAATTATTTGCCCTAATTCCCTACTTGTCTAGAGCCTTATAAAGTTTTACATTTCCAACTCGGAATGTAAAGTACAAAGATGCCAGGAAAACAATCACTATCATGAATAATTAAAGATTTTAACCAGATTCATATTCCTGATATATATAAATACGAGTGCATTTGGATTACAGTATCAAAAAGCAAAAAACAAACAAACAGAGGGCCGCAAAGAAATATTGAACACTATAATTCTTTGCTGACAACTGTTGGTCATCTGGATTGTTGCAGGTCAGATCTGATCACTTGAGTATTCTGTGTATATATGAATGTACACACAGACACATACCGGCACAATTTTCCCCCAATGCTTGATTTACATTTAGATTTTCTATCACAGTTCACAGCAAGCAAGCAATACAGTAACATTAGTATCACTCTTTGTGAAAAAGAGCATGTTTTCCTTTGACATTTACATTCTGCTGCCCCTACAGAATAAAAATGCTGAACAAAATTTCAACAGCAGCTTCTTATCACATGCTAAACATTTACCTATCGCCTTCTGAGACTCAGTGTAAGGCAACCAGATCTGTTTCTGCGTTCCAATAAGGTTAAAAATAATTAAGTTCTTATATTGTTTGAAGCAAACGCAACAATTAACTGATATTGTCAGCGTCATAGCCATTCAGTGCATTCCATTAACGGTTCCCAACTTAAACTTAGCTGGTGCCTTCTTAAAAGCAGGATTCATCTAACCATCAACTCTTTCCTCAACATGCAAATAACTCAAGCAGGAGAAAGAATGCCACATCCAGTTCGTGTTTCATTTTCACTCATCATCTCATGCTGAAAACAGGCAATGAGAAAAAAAAAAGGAATAGAATGCATTCGTGGATGCTTTAATACATACCTGGGAACCCCCCTTGCACCATTGCTGCATTAGAACACAATTCTAGGTATCTGCATTCCGCACAAACGTTCAAATGCTGTGAACAGCTCCAATCCTCACCACACAACACACAGAGAGATTCGGAGCTCCGTCTTTCTTCTGACGACCTTGGGCCTGCTTGAGAGATTTCCCTCGCCTTAAGGGCAATCTGTCACTTTTCTTTCACAATTCATTCAATCACAATTCATTTCAATCTTGCCCACAAGCAAAGAGTTACATCCGTCAGCGAGCCTGCAAGCACAACTAGAGAAATTCCTGGTCTCCCATCTCTGACCCACCGATGCTCTAGTGCTGTTGCTACTGCTGCTGTATTGTTGTTTCCTTGCTGGAAATCACTAGGATTCAACTAGCATCCTTCTTCTGAAACAGAAATCATTTTAAAACAACACTGCCCTTTTCCTTGATTGTGAGCCTAGCTGATTTGATTCTTAATGGCCCATTCTTAATTGCAGATAAATGGTTTGTAACATCCGGTCAGACAGACACACACACACACACACACACACACACACACACACACACATACATAAAATGCTTGTTTCTGATTCTAATAATCAGTGAGTGCTTGCCAGCCCAGCAGCGCTGGCTAAGTATTATCCTTTAGTTTTCCCTTGATCAGAGCTGCAGTGTGGAATTATGTTTATATCTTTAAGAAAAGTCTCTGCTTTAAATCCTTATCATTGCCAGGCAGATGCTAATCCATTTAATGCCCCTCCGGTAAACAGTGAGAATATATTTAAAATTATTTATTTTATACAGCAATCAAATAAAATCACAAGAATGCTCAGCAGAAAGTTGGTATATATGATTAGTCAATATTTACTCACTGGGCTTAACATTCTTTCCATTTAGAAAGCATCATCTTTTGTAATATGCCTGCAATAGAGCCACATCTGCAACATCTGTTCAATGCATTAGCAGAGCAGAGCCAAAAAAAATAAAAATAATACTGGTTGCAGTCATTCTCAGACCTTATTACACTTACATTTCTAACCCTCAAATACATTTTCAGTATTTGAGTACTGAATCAATAGTTTTAAAATCTGCACAAAGCAGAAAATCTGTGCACAGACACCCATGATGATGTCCAATAGCAGCCCATTTACCTTTTAAGAAATATCATGTAGGAAAGCTAATTTCAGAACAAGATTTAAAAACATTAAAGGACGTGTTACAGCATCCAAATTAAAAGCTCTCTGGTTGTCATTTTGTTTGATGGATTGAAATGCTTTCTGATACAGTAAGAAAATCTAACACCATTGCTAGTGATTGTAGTGACATCTATTGGAAAAGCAGCATTTTAGCTTTAGAGCCATGTGGGATCAAACTAAAAGCCAACACTGCATTCCTATTGCGATCAATAAGAAACCACGCCACCCTTTTGCTGGTACTGCCAAATTAACTTGGCTTGCATTTTTCCTGAAACGAATCTGTTGTTTTAATTTTGTAATATGAACTTTTGATTAAAATTGGGCAGAAAATTAGGGGAAAAGGCAAACAGAAACATATTCACTATTTTGTGACTTTGACTGTTTACTCTGCAAACTGATACATAAACTATGAAGAGTAAACATGTGCCTTAAATAACTTTACTTAAAGGCAGACGGAGTCACTCCTCTCTAGTCCACAAAAGCAAGTGATATTCAGAGACATGCTTTGAGTTCATTAATGCTCTCTGAGCACTGTTTTCTTGCAGAGGTTTCACTATCCAGGTAGGTAACATGATCAGTGCATATCAGGGCGCTGATGATGTTACCTAGTTGGGTGATGAAACGTCTGCAAGAAAACAACCAAGCTCAAGCACCAAGAATCCCCCAGTTTACCCTGACCTACAAATATTCTTTTCTATTAGAGACATGCTGCTTTTGATACTGGAAATATTATACAACTATTACTAGTACCTACTGCAGTTTTATCCTCGATAATCAGCCTTCTCAATTACACAAGGGTTTTGCAAGAGATTGCTAGGAGTTCCATAAGGAATTGTGACCAAATCACAGACAAAGAAAGAAACACTGTTTTTTAAACTTCTGTGCACCGAAGAGTGCTGAGGTACCCAAAGTTTAAAAAGCAATGTTTATTTTTGCAGTGGTAGCAGTTATTATGTGCTGCGACTCAGCTGCCAAGCAGCCACTTTGCCATTGTTGCAAATGTTATGCAATTTCGATTGTGTAGGTTAGACAGGAACTGTATAGTGAAACCTTCATAGTTTCTGGAGATTTTTAGGCAGGGGTTCCCTGAGATCTGATAATTATTTCAAGTATTTCTCCAGGGAAAAAAGTTGACAAAGGTTGCCCTTTAAGTTTATTTAGTTTTAAAAATATCCAGATGGGTAGCCTTCTCCAGATCTCTTGGTAGCTGAATAAAGGACTGTGTAGGAAGATGGAAATTAACTCAAGGAGAGAACCAACCCCAAATAACGAGAAATTTCCTGACATTTAGAACAATTTATCAATGGAAAGGCTTGCTTACAGAAGTTGTGGGTGCTCTATCAATGGAGGTTTTTAAGAAGGGATTGGACAACCATTTGTCTGAAGTATAGAGTCTTCTGCTTGAGTAGGGGGTTGGACTAGAAGATCTCCAAGGTCCGTTCCAACTCTTTTATTCTCTTATGTACATGTAGTCCTCAACTTACAACCACAACTAAGTCCAACATTTCTGCTGCTAAGCAAGACAGTTGTAAAGCGAGCTTTGTGCCATTTTGCAACCTTTCTTGCCACAGTTGTTGTTAAGTTAGTGACATGGTTGTTAAGTGAATCTGGTTTGTCCCATTGACTTTGCTTGTCGTAAGCTAACCGGGAGGGTTACAAATAGTGATCACATGACCTTGAGAAACTACTATCCTCATAAATACATAAAATAAATATTTCATTTACATATTTGTATGGAATATATAAATATTATATACAATATATTTACATAGTATATAAAATACAATCACGAAATTTCCAGATGAGTCACATATAAAAATGATTATGGTCAGAGAATCTTGGAATTATTACCCTCAATACTGGTTATGCCTAGTTAAACAGTTTACTGACAAGTGACATATTCATGATCTCTACCTTAACTAAATTTTGTCCACACTTTCTAAAAAAAGGGTCTAGAATATTATGGTGTTGGCATTAAGGAACTTTTCCCCATTCAATTCTAATATTTCTCTAGATTTTTTTGGGTAGTTTAACGAGGAACGATGTAGGAAAATGTACTTCCTTTTATTTCTCTAGTCTTTTCCAGCATTCTTTCCCATTGGAATTCAAAATTCTCATATTCTGGCAATAAATATGGTGACCATAAGCAACTTTTCCTTAGGTAAGATCCCCAAAGAAGAATTCTGAAGGTAGCAATTCAATACTAATAATACTTCATAATTTACCCTCTGTAAAAGCATTTTCTTCCTCTTCATCCTCTTCCTCTTCTGGATCACCCAAGCTGGACTTTCTTGCTCCTTTGTAAGGTGGTGGCAATTTCATGGGTGGTAGAATCCCACTTTTCTTCTAAAAAGGAAAAAAAAAGCCTTTCATATTATGCCTAGAAATTTCAGATTGTTCTGATAAGGAAATCATTATATATGTGTAGTTTATAAATGCTACTTTCAAAAGAAGCTTCCAGTTTCATAGACTTTGGTTTTTTTTTTTAATAAATCTCACTTTTTGTTCCCCCACATCAAAAAAAAGAAAAAGAAGAGTGATTTTATATTAGCTTGTTAGAAGCAAGGAATGCTAGGATGTTAATGTTTCCTTATACCAAAAGCAACGAAGATAATACAGCGCTTAACTGACAACATAAATGTGAAAATACAATTTTCACCAAGGACCAGAATGCTTCATAAAACAAATCTACAGCTTTCGAGGCACTTACAGGGAAAAAACACACACACACCAGCTTATAAAGCTCCATCAAACATTACAGGCTACGCAATTTTCAATATTACCTCTGGTTAACAAGTGATGTATCATAAAACTCACAATAAAATCTCATTACCTCGCATAAATAAAGGCATTTTCGATAATGGTGCATGTAGTGATACATATCACCCTAAAGAAGGAGAACTGGAGGACTCCAGTAGACACAACCAAGCGTCTGTTTCTCAGACTCGAATCATTTGTGAGCTGTCCTGTAGGGCTGAGTGAGCTCAACTACGATCACATCGCTAAAAGCAAATGCATTTTAGTAAACAAACAGCGACTGCCAAATGTCATAGGACCCATACAAATGGCTTGAAAGATGCTGCTATATACGGCAGAGAATCGTGGTTTCGCATGTCATTTTTAGAAAGATTTTTTTTCTATAATACTACAGTAAAAGCAGTTTAGAAAAAAGAGATTTGCAAATACAAGAGTTGCCGTCTTATGTGAACTATCGACATTGAAAAAGCAGGCTATTTGAATGTGGGATGGGAATAAAATGAAAAATCGCAAGAGGCAATAAAGAGGAAAACAGTTCCAACTGAAAGCGATTGCCAATCAGGATAGAATAAATTTCATGTAATTAAGACAAGAATAGCAGCAAAATAAAGAGAATAAAAACAAGCTTCCACGATTTAGGTAGTGGGGAAAACCATTTTGCACTCTATCCAAATTAACATCAAGTTTAGGAATTGAAAAGCAACAGATCATGTGGGTTAATGAATGCTAACGTTAAAGTTAAAACCTCTACCACACTGAATTCAAACATAGTTATTTATTTATATCCCTTTATTATTATTTTACAAATAACTCAAACAAACATAATCCTTCCTTCTCTTGTTTTTCCCACAACCACCACCCTGTGGGGCAGGTTGGCTGAAAGACAGTGGTTGACCAAAGTCAGCCAGCCAGCTTTCTATTGATTACAATATATGAACAAACCATATATAACCAATTTTGTCTTGGCTGTTATTTTGCTTCCCAGACTAATGTCCTGCTGCAATTTTCTTGTGGTTTCCCATCTAAATGCTAACCAGATCTAACCCTGTTTAACTTCAGCTTTGTGTTGCTGCTTGCTGCGGCAACAGCTGCTACTGAGGACAATAAAAATTAAACGGCAATGAGTCAACCCACTCAATTTGGATGCAGCTGTTTGTTTTTTTTCTCACTTTAACCTTTCTCTGAATAATATTTTCATATGCACTATGAAGATGATTATTTTATGCTGCCTTTCTCTGAATAGGAAGTGTTGTTTAAATCCACTGAATCCACTAAATCCAGTCTGCCGAGTCTAGAGGAAAAATTAATTCTTTTCCTGACTCAGCTTCCACTCTAGAAAACGTTGTCTATCTTTTCATTCAGCCATAATCAACATTTTACCTTACCCTATGGAGATAACCAGCCAGAACATAATTCTATGAACTTCTCTCAACTGAAGAATATCTACACAATAATGCACAGGACTATCCTTTTAATGACATTTTCCCTATTTGTCATTCTCCAGCTGAAAGAGATTTCAAATCCAACATTATCTGGAATATGGTGGGGGAAGATTACTTCCTATTTATATTTGATATCACTACTTCCAGAAGTCATGTATTCCATTAGCTTTCGAACTTAACACCCTTTTGCACTATTAGTACCTCAGGGACAGAATCATTCACGTAGTACAGAAACCATTACCCATACAACTACTTCTCCGTGTTGTGAATGCTGAAGTACTGCATAATTTAGCACTACAATCTCTGCCCAGGGGCTCATGCAGGGCGGTATTCAAGTTTTATTCACAGGGGGAAAATCTGTTGAGTACTATCTTCACAATGAAATGGCTCTTAAAACTAGCTGGTGGTCTGCATTATTTCAGAGACATGATATAGCCAGATATAGTGACAAATGGTATTTCTTGAACAAGCACACAAATAAATAATTTCTTCATGGAGGCCCCCAGTACAGACAGTCTCAATAGCAGAGCTCCAAGGGTCAGTCTACATGGGCATGTTTATACCATTAATGGCTGAATGTGCACGTGTGCCTTGGGAAGAATCTCCCTGCAAAACCATGTCATAAATTATTTCCAGGGTGATAAATTTTCTTCCTGATGTGAGAAGAAGCTTATTGTAATGACACCACAATATTTGCATTAAAGCCAAAAAAAAAAAAAGGGACATTCTAGAGGTCAAAACCTATACCTTCAACTTGAGGAAATCCACGTAAACATTTAAAAGTTTCCCTGTGTCCAACTCTAAGGCGCATTGCTCATTTCCTTTTCTTGGCCAAAGGAGCCAGTGTTGTCCAAAGACATTTTCCATTGTCATGTGGTCGGCATGGCTATACGCCAAAGGCACATGGAACGCTGTTACCTTCCCACCAAAGTGGTACCTATTAATCTACTTGCATTTGCATGCTTTCAAACTGCTAGGGCAGGAACTAGGGCAAGTAATGGGATCTCATCGCATTGCGCAGTGCTTGGGTCTCAAAACTGGGCTGTCAGCTTTCCAACTGACAAGCTAAGCATCTTTAACCACTGAGCCACTGCAAAAAAGAAAGTTCTCTACAAGAGGCATCAAACAAAGTCTCCAGATAAACCTTTCCACAGGCAGTAATGGTTGAGCTCCAACTTCTAGCACTTAAGAATACAAGTACAGTTAGTTCTCGACTTACAATCTTTTGTTCAGCGACCGTTTGAAATTACGATGACACTGAAAAATGTAATTTATGACCATTTTTCTTACTTAGGGCCATTACAGTATCCCCCTGGTCACGAGATCAAAACTCGAGATGCTTGGCAACTGATTTATATTTATGATGGTTACAGTGTCCCAGAGTCATGTGATCATCTTTTATGACCTTCTGACACGCAAAGTCAATGGGGAAATCCGATTCACTTACAACCATGTTAGTAATTTAACAACTGCACTGATTCGCTTAACAACTGAGACAAGAAAGGTCATCAAATGAGGCAAAACTCACTAAACAACTGTCTCACTTAGCAACAAAAATTTTGAGCTCAACTGTGGTCAAAAATTAATCAACTAACAAATAGGTCCGGCAGACAAAAAGCTACAATTGTAAAGAGAAAGAAAAATCAGAGAATTATAAGAATACTTTTCCTTGGCCCCACTAGGACATCTGGATGATCATCTTGAGAAGAATGGATTAGACAAGGAGGAAGGTTCTTAAAAGTCAATTGGAGCAACCCAAATGAAAATCGTGCAATGGATTAAGGTACAGTCAGCAGATTTTGCATAACCAAAGCTGTCTTGCTATTGGAGTGGCTGAATTGTTTGCAAACATAGTTTCAAAGAACATGATCAGAAGGCAGTTCAAGGTGAAATGGAGTAAGACAAACATTAGAAAACAAAAGTAAATTAGAACAAGGTTTTTCAACCAGTGGTACGGGTACCACCTGTGGTACATTGGCACCTGGCAGGTGGTACGCGACCATCCTAGAAAAGTGGTAGCGGGGGAGGGGAAAGAGCTGAACCGGTTACAGCACCGCACAAGCCTGAGTGAGAGATGGCTGGAGCTGCAGGGCTGTCAGGGCTCAGCGTAAGTGCCAGGATCAGCGCCAGGCTCCAGCTGTAGCTTGGCGCTGATCCTGACACTTCTGGTGAGCCCAGAAGAAGTGCCAATCAGCTGGAATGTTGCAGCATCTCCAGGGTCTTGTGATTTACATTCAAATGCTTGGCAACTGATTCATATTTATGACGGTCACAGTGTCCCAGGGTCATGTGAAGTGACCAAAACCTGCTGCAACCACCCAGCAGACGGGGGGAATAAAAACCAAACACCCCCACCCCACCCCCGCTGCCAATCCTCAACAGAAATGCTCACAACAATGAAAACCTCGGACAGGAGGAAGAGCGCCGCCGAGCGGGCAGGCAGATGTCTTGCTCGGCTGTGGCTTGGGGGGCACTTTTTTCAGTGCCATTGTAACTTCGAACAGTCACTAAGCGAACTGTTGTAAGTCGAGGACTACCTGTACTTTATCACTTTTTTCCTTTTTTTTTTTGGTCATCAAGTTTTTGACACCTTGCTAGGCGACTGGTGGTACTCGGATACTGCCATATCCTAAAAGTGGTGCAATGGGTGAAAAGGTTGAAAAGCCCTGAATTAGAAGCCAAAGTCCAGATTTATATTTGTCAATGTTTTTGAACGAAGGATAGCCAGGCAAGGTTTGGTCCCTGGCACTTTTGCCTCAATTTTCCAACTTGCAGTTCTTGGTAAGTAGCAGGTATTGCTAGACTCTCTGGTTTCTCCCAGATTTCCTTCTGTAGGAGGTAGAGAGAGCAAGATTCTCATGTTCTCAAAAAATAGGTCCTCCAAAGGACTTATAAGTCTTGGAAGAATGGTATTCTGTTTCTCTAGGCGTAAACATATAGATACAAAAAAAAAAAAGCTGCATTTCGCTATTAATGGACCATTCTCGTAAAATGTCTTGTATTGCCCATTCTGCTTGCAGCAAACTAGAGTTTGGAGGCAAAGACATCAGTGTGAAACTCTATGGTTTACCTCAGGGAAACTTAGAGTAGAAAAATACTGCTATTGATCCTACAACCAGAAATGTGAAAGATAAATGCTCTCTGCTGAAGAGTACTCCTTTGAAAAACAGGTAGTCCTCGACTTACATCTATTCATTTAGTGACTGCTTGAGGTTACAATGACACTGAAAAAAAGGGACATGATCGTTTTCACACTTAAGACCATTGCAGCATCCCCATATGACAAAAATTCCATCACTTGGCAACTGGGTCATATTTATGACGGTTACATTGTCCTGGGTTCATGTGATCACCTTTTGTGATCTTCTGACAAGCAAAGTCAATGGGACAAACCAGATTCATTTAACAACCATGTTACTAACTTAACAACAACTGTAGCAAGAAGGGTTGTAAAATGGCACAAAGCTTACTTTACAACTGTCTTGCTTAGCAACAGAAATTTTGGACTTAGTTGTGGTTGTAAGTTGAGGGCTACATGTACATAAGAGAATAACAGAGTTGGAAGGGACCTTGGAGATCTTCTAGTCCAACCCCCTGCTCAAGCAGAAAACCCTATACCACTTCAGACAAATAACAACTGCAGTGATTCACTCCACGACAGTGGCCAGAAAGATTGTAAAGTGAGGCAAAACTCACTTAACAAATGTTTTAGCAACAGAAATTGTGGGCTCAGTTGTGGCTGTAAGTCAAGGACTACCTGTAAGATACTAGCAATTTCAAACATGTCATTTATTTTCATCCATCGATGCACATTGCTTTAAAAATCAGAAATGGTTTTCTAATCATTTCAACCAAGTTTAAACTATTCAAACTATTATTTTTTTTTTCAAAAAAAAAGCTTGAGAAAGGAGAGCTCCTCCAATCCATATTACAGCAGTACATTTATTAGTACAGCTCAAGATTTATAAACTAGCGTGCAAGCTCTGAAATCCCCAAGAACACCACATCAGGCAAGATTATTAAAATTACAGAAAAAGAGAGGGTGGAAAAATGAAATGTGTCTGTTTAAATCATCCCTGTTCCCAATTAGTCATACAAAGCTAGACACATTCATTCAAACAGCAAGCACTTTTTGTTTCATACACCATGAAAGTAATAGTTTCCATATTTTTTTTAAGGAAAACCATGAGCTCTAAAGGTTTGTCCTAGGCTACATGAATTGTCTTATGGAGAATCAAGAGAGATCTTGCTGAAGAAAAGTGATTATCTATCAACAATCAATCAATTATATTGTGAGCCATGTTACTTCACAATTTGTTTTTACTTTTGGGATTTGTGAACTGAAGATGGATTGCTCTGCAAAAGCAGAACCAATGAATGCAGCAAAGACCAAGGAACTTGTGTATAGACTGATTCCTGGCAACTTCTCTGGATAAGGAGAGGACAGGAGATCACCGGCATGTTCTCTGGATGGCTGCTCTGTGCAAGAAGATATAGGGCATCAGTTTTCCATGAGTTTGACTGCTGGGAGATGATGAGATAAGCCATTTTGCTTATATTCAGGGAAATATAGTACTAAATGCGTCTGTCTGGTTGACAATCTTAACTGGGGCTTATTTTTGGGGTGGGGCTTATATTACGAGCATTCCGAAAAATCATGCTAGGGCTTATTTTCCAGTTGGGTCTTATTTTCAGGGAAACACCATATTATCTGCCTTCTTCCATTTAAACAAATCTTGGAGTATTTTAAAATGATAACTTATTTTATGAATCTGGTTTTGGAAAACAAAGAGACTGGAGCTACCTTTTCGGTTTCTTCTGTATCCTGATCCTCTTCGCTTTCCTTTTTCTTAGGGTTTATTACTGAAATTATCTATAAGAAAACAAATGAATGGAAAAAAATGCATGAATGAATCAAAATGAAGGGAAAGAAAAAAAAATGAAAAGAAACCAAACTCTATTTCTAAAAAAAATAAAATAGAGTTGCTAGATATAAAAACTGATCCCCATCTTTTTTTTCTCTCCCACAATTTGAAATCCATTCTCTATCAAAATTTTAGAAAGTAAATATGTGGAGATGATTACCCTTGGAAGAGTTGACAGACTTTGCACGACAAAAACAATGGGGTTGCCTGCATTTTTGATAGCTTCCACAGCTTCTTCATGAGTAGCATTTTGTAGGTCTGTTCCAGATACCTGCAGAGAAATGAGCTCATTTAGATTTACTTCTTCTGATCCAAATCCTGGAAAAAGATCTGTCAGCTGAAAGACCCGAATAACATCTACAAAGAGCTTTACTAATATAACAGATGTAGTCCCATGATTAAAATGGTACTCATAGTATCAACACAATAGCAAAGACATTTAGCAATGCTTCAATTAGATCAATAAAAAACTGAACTCTTGGACATTTTTTATAACATTAGGTTTATGCCAGTGTTTCTCAACCTTGATAATTTTAAGGCATGTGGACTTCAGCTCCCAGAATTCCACAGCCAGCATTGCTGGCTGTGGAATTCTGGGAGTTGAAGTCCACATGCCTTAAAATTGTCAAGGTTGAGAAACACTGGTTTATGCACTCAACTCAAGGCCAAATTAAACAGTATGTTGAACTTGTTTTCCTTAATGAGCTGTTCTCAAACTTCTCTTTCAAGCTGAGCATTTTGCTTTATTTTAATGCCTACAGGTAGTCCCCGACTCACGACCAGAATCGTGCCCAAAATTTATGTTGCTAAGTGAAGCATTTGTTAAGTGAATTTTGCCCCATTTTACAACACTTCTTGCTACTGTTAAGTGAATCATTGCAGTTGTTAAGTTGGTAACATGGTTGCTAAGTGAATCTGGCTTTTCCAGTGACTTTGCTTGTCAGAAGGTCGCAAAAGGGGATCACGTGACCCTGGGATACTGCAACTGTCATAACTATGAGTCAGTTGCAAGAGTCTGAATTTTGATCAAGTGACTCTGGGGATGCCGCAATGGTTGCAAGTGTGAAAAATGATCATTAAGTCACTTTTTTCAGTGACATTGTAACTTTGAACTGTCACTAAATGAACTGCTGTAAGTCGAGGACTACCTGTATTTGGTTTCCTAACACCACATGTGTTTAGACAGCACTAGTATTTCCTGTTATTCTCTGACTGTTTTGGCTTTAAAATGCTTTCCTCTTGACTGCACTACTCTACAGAGCAAATCCTGATAACTGATGAGGAAATAAGCTCCTTTTCAGGAACCCTTCCCCAAAGAGAAATTTCCCATGAATAGTGAGCTCACTTCCTAGTCTCCTTGTCATCAATAAGTCAAAAAGAAAAAATTCTTTATTCATGCATGTGTTTCTAGTAGGACTTATTAATCTCTTCTCATGTAGATAAGCAGCATCTGCAGTTCTCAGTAAAGTATAAGGGCCAGGCCACTCAAAAAAAAAAGAAAAAAAAAGAACAGTAAATTCAAATACCCACAATTACATCTTACACGATCATTGTTTTGTATTCACACATAAGATAAGCGGTTAAAGTTAAGCTGTAAATATTTACTATTTACTAAATCTGTAATTTGTAGTCAATAGAATCTCTCTTAAAAATGAGCCTGTTCAAGCAGCTACAGTCTTTATAAAGTGGAAGTCTGAACTTACTTCAAGTAATTTATCTCCTGTTTTGAGAGCCTTTGTTCTTCCTGCTGGGCTGTCTTCCAAAACCTGCCTGATAAATATTCCTTTAAGCTCTTCTCCATTCTTCAGGCGTTTTATAACTGTATGTCCACCAACAATACTGATGCCGAGAGGTACCTGGGGCTCCCGAAAAATTTCAATTCTGTATGGAGAAAGAACGCTCTGAATACAAGAAGTTGGAGCTTCATGATTTTTGCTAAAATCTGTGACCTTATAGAAATCCAAAGCTTCTGGTTTGTTGTAAGGTAGACAAAAATGTGAGGGGACCACAGCTGCAGATTGCATGATACCTTGTTCCTTTAATTCCATTTTAAAATCCAATCCCTTTAAAGTTTCAAGAAAATAAAAGTAAGTCATAAATCTGATCTCTATGCCTGCTTTTTTTTTTTTTTTCAATTTTTTTTTTATTATTTTCAACATAAGAAAAAAGAACACATCACAAATACATCACAATTGAAACCCCCCCCCACCCCCCACCCGGACTTCCCAAACCTAATCCCAGGATACTATTCAACTAAAAGTAACCTTGTATTAATATCCCTAACTCCACAAAGTAATATTCTACATAAGTAGGTGAAATATATATGTATGTATAAAAAAAAAAAAGTTTTTTATCTAAAAACCTAACTTATATTCCACCATTCTATGTTTATTTTGAATATAAACAATCCATCTTCTCCATATGCCTGCTTTTAATGCTAATTTTCTTCACTGTAATCCATGCTCCTCAATACATTAATTAATACAGTCTACAGAACACCAAATGTCACCCAGCCCCATGTAATCTATCCCTTTTAAAATGAGAGATGCCATTTTCATTGTGTGAATTTCAAGAATTGTACTGTTGTGGAAAAGTGATGCTTGTATCTTATGTGTTATGCATCAATTCTACGTACAGTCAGGAAAATCACATTATAATGACTGGATAAATACATTTAGCTTCCTTAATTATTTCTTTTAGATTTCAGTTCAAGTATATATTTATATTACAAGATATAAATGTTACAATAAAATAAAAGGAAATGAGCATTCTACAAGCTGTTTATGAAGAAATAACCCCAAATTCACCAATATTTTCTCAGCAAGAGCTACAGCTCTTGGACTTCATTAGAAAGTACTCAAACTTAAGATTTGTTTATATATATATATAACAAGAAGGGAAAAAATCATAACCCCCGATCACTGTATTAACAGCTTGGTTAGAATTGGTCGGGAGGTGAATGGAAGGAGGGGGAGGATTGATTCTCCTTCCCTCACTTCTAACAACAAAGAGGATGGGAGAAAGCGGATTGGAGCTACGACCACTCGGTCATGGGCAGGAAATAGGGAAATACCCACATCAGTAGAAGATAATCCCCAAGAGATTGACATATGGACATCGAACCAAAGAAAGGGGAGTGCAACGGTGATTAAGTTAAATACCTTAACAAACAGCAATAAACATAGAGAGGAGAGGTGTGAAGGGGAGGGGAGACAACAGCGCTGTGTATTAGAACAGCCTAGAGGGAGCAGAAAAGAAAACAAGGCTAATAGACAAGAGAGGAAATTGGAAGACGTGATTACACAAAAAAGAAGGGGAGTACAGGCTTTACCCGCGCTAAACCTCCAAGAAAGGATATCCCCTGCTATTACTTACACTGATACGGATCATGTGGGAAGGACAACTCCCAATAAGAACTCAGTGCCTGGAGTACGTTCTAGTATAACCGGCCCAGTGACGAGATCGAAGAGTCGTGCACACGCCCTAATTAAACCTATAAAGGGACTTTCCCATTGACCAGCATTCTAAGCCCTGAAGATGTCAGCGGATGCCGACGAAAGCTAGGCACTTTTATTGATTTCTATGTATTTTAAAGGTTTTTAAAAAAAAGATAGGGGGAAAGAAAAAGGTGTTGACTTCTGACTCTTTTTAGCACAGTACAAGATAACAATATTACAATCTAAACTTTTTACTTTTACACATCAGTATGTAACTAGCCATTTCTATAACAACGAATCTATCTAATCAGCAAAACCAAAGTCAAAGTTTTATTTTTTTTCTTCACAAGCACAAAATCCAGAAGTGATATCCAAAGGAGAAAAAAAACCCCTAAATATATTATCCTCTTTGAATAGAACAATCAATGTAACCATTACTGCTTTATCTTCCTTGCTGTTGAAATAATATGTATTTCTATTTGCACTTACTAATCTTTATAAACTGTCACCATTTATATTAACGAAATTCACTGTATTCTTTCAGATTCTTTTAACTTTAAAGGGAAAAACTTTTTTTTCATCCTTTTTAAAACGCTAAGCTTTTCTTTAAAAAACATTTTAAAAATTAAAACATTCTAATATCTCTTTTTTTTAAAAAAAAACTCCCTCTTAGCATACGTATTTTAAAGTTCACTTTCAGACCAATAAAATTTCAACTAACTCTAATTAACTTATTAAATTTTGGTGGAGAAGAATAGAAAAAAACTATGGACACTGGGTAGCTAAGGAAAGATTGGGGGTCAGTGGGCCAGGTAGATATGCTGTGCATAAAATCAAGGCAGAAAAAGAAAGGTACTGGGAAAATCAGGGATGGGCTGGCTCAGTGATGGCGAACCTTTTAGAGACCGAGTGCCCAAACTGCAACCCAAAACCCACTGATGTATCATTGGGTGCTGGGTGGGCGTGGCCCATTGGGTGGGCGTGGCCCATTGGGTTGGTGTAGCTGTGGTGGTAATGGCAGATTGGGTGGGACTAAAAATTTTAATCAATCAATTCCAAATTTGCGAGAACTTTTTTTTCCCCACGAGAAGTTGTAATTGATTGATTGATTGAACCTTTTTTTTTGCACACGGCGGCGGAGGCGTAAAGCGAAAAGGTTTTATAAAACCCAGCTGAAGGCCTAGGACTGGGGCGACAGTGCGCATGCCCACAGAGAGAGCTCTGCGTGCCACCTGTGGCACGCGTGCCATAGGTTCGCCACCACGGGGCTGGCTGGTTGCACAGCTGTTACCTCCATTGCTCTTGAGTTGAAGCACCACACATCCAACTATTGTCCATTAGTACATCCCTCTTCCTACCTCCCTTTAGCTGCTACCTATTTGCTTGACTCCAAACAAGATCTAAGAAGCAGTAAAGAAAAGGAAGCTACTGGGAAAATAAGGGGGCGTGCCAGTATCCTGATCATGTAAAGGAAGAAAAGAGGGATGAGCTGTATCAATCTGGTCCTATTTACCCGGTAAGAATCCTCCAAATTTTGTTTTTGCTGAGATTGGAAACAATTAAAACATGCCAAATTTCAGATATGATGAACCAGAGCTCAATGTCCCAAACACTGTATGTTTGTTTCAAAGTTGAAATAAAAACACTTTCCATAATTTCCAAAATAATTATATAAAAATCAGTGGAACCGATATGATCGTTCAGCAGAATATCTGATAAATATTAATTCTGTCTTCAGCATCTTATAAGGAACTATTGTCACACTGTTCTTGTATAAAATACCCCATGATCAAGCAAAGTGCCTCCAGCAAGAGATTAAAAAGGAAAGGCATATTCATACTTAATGATCAGCACCTCAAATTATTATTAAGGCAAAGGAAATATTGAAATACTTATCAACATACATTTGGGGTGATCCCCAGTGACTGAAAATTGGAGTTTCTTCTCCTTCTCCTTCTTCTCTTTCAGGCAATTCACTAAAGAAAATTGATACAATATGCAACATTTATATGTGTGTGTCCCATTCTTTGTAATTAACAAAATTAAATTCCCAAGAATCTACAAGCTTCTCCGCCTTTCTCTAAACGTTAATGAAAATGGACCACTTTATTAAAGACACAATTTCTGCAATTATCCTCTTAATTAAGTATACGATGTATCTCTACAGAAAGGAAGGTAATCATTTTGTGAGTGAAGTTGATACGTTTCAGTGTGTAGCTAGACAAGAAGAGTCTATCATCCTGATCATCACTGCCATCATTAGCTATAAGAAGAAAAATACAAAATTAGCTGAAGGATTCCCATGCAAGCTGGAGAATTCTGGGAGTTGAAGCCCACATGTCCTAAAGTTGCTAAGGTTGAGAAACGCTGATCTAGCCAATGTTGCATGATGTTAAAAAAAAGTTATACAGTGAAGGCCTGTTGGTATTTAGATGAGAAACCAGTAGGATATCCCAAGGCTGTAGACTTACAAGTTAAAAAAAATCCCAATACAAATAATGGCAAATCCTTTTATATTTTGGTCCACATAAATTTGGGCTTGACTTGACTTTATGTTGTAACACCTTTGACCCTAACAGTTTAATATACCTATGATTGCCTCCAATAACTACTTAGTGAGTTAGAATGATGACATATCAAAATTCTAATTATTGACAACTCATTGATGATTTCTCATAATGTAAGAGAAAATAGTTTTTCCTCTTATTTCTTTTCAGATAAATCAAAATTACCGACATATTTTTAGCTAAGCATCACTTCATACCTAGACAGCACAACTCTACGTAGGGCAGAATCTTGGGAGCTGGAAGGATCAATATCTTCATTCTTCATTTTGCATCTCTCACGATCAACATCCATGTATAGATGTTCTTTAGGGTCACCTTGCTTTGGAATACCTTAGAAGAAGAGATTCATTATTTTGCTCTGTTTTCAGATGCACTTGTTTAAGAGTAAAAGTAATAATAGACAACCTTTTCTAAAAAAGACTATTCGGTTCACAATGATAATTAGCTCTTTTCAGGTATTTATGTGAATATATGAGGGACTGAAACTGAGAAGAGAATGGGACGCAACATACAGTCTGCCTTTGCACATTCAGTTAAGTGGTTTGAAAGGGAACAGTGTTCACTTGAAGAGCTCTCCTCTATCCAACAATCATAGAAAATAATTGTGAAAAGAACAGCACTTGTCTTCAATTAAATTCAAGGTACATCTGTCCTATAGACTTTCCAAGAGAAAGCATAAAGAGATAGGCAGAATGCCTTCAAATTCTAGTACTTCTTGCATTATACCAAGAATTCAATATTCTTAAAATAATTGATTTGATGATGTGTACAGAATGAGAATTGCACACACAAGCTGACTTTAAAAATGTATGCTAAACAACTGGGATCATAAATAAATGTTTAAATGGTGGTAAACTGAAGTTAAATACTAATAAACAGAAACATTGTGGTTGAATATTTTCTTTTTCCAAAATGAAGGTAATTGGATGGGATATACTCCCAACCTCCAGCCCTGTTTGAACAGTTATAATATTTGGGAATATTTGTGGATCTTTTTTTCTGCATAACCTGTTCTTGGATAGGTTATTTAATATACTGTATATATGTCAATATGGATATGGATCTGTTTTCCACAGATTCAAGGTGTTGGTATTAGATATATAAAACCTTTAAAACAACCTCAATCACATCTGTCTTATAGGTAACTATAATTTGGGGAGAAGCTTTCTCTGTCCATGTGATAGATCGTCAGTTGGGACCCATGCAGATTCAAGTTTTCTCCACAATGACACATCCGTATACATATAATACACCCAAATTCTGAAATGTTTTAGATATTTTTTTGAGACCCACTTTTTAATAGTAACCCCTTTCAACCACTAAAGTCCCGCCAGGTCTTGATCTTTCATAGATAATTTTGGCTCAGAAATATATTTATTTATTCTGAATACTTGCTCATTTCACTTACCATCCAGCATAGGAGTTCCTTGGCTGTACTCCACTGAAACACCATGGAATAGTGAATGATTAGTACTCTTTTCTTCATTCTTCAGTAGAAAAATAAAGGCAATACAGAATTGAAAGACATTAGCTCAGCCCTATGCTACCAGAAACAAAGATGAGTTTAATAGAAGCTGGGTTTTAAAAACTGACATATCATTAATTAAACCCTGTTTTCCAAAATCTGTTATGGATTCTTTAAGTATTATGCTAATGGTATCTAAAGAAAGCACCTGAATATCCTTAATGATCTTCAGACTATTTAGCTACTGAATTTTAAAGCACTATAGTTAAGAAATAGTAATAATTGCACTGAATATATGATGTTACAATATCATTCATTTATTCTTTACTTTACATACATACATATATATATATCACTAAATACCTCTTCAGTATTAAGATTGTTTGCAGGATTCGGTTCCACCATTTTAGCACAGTCTAATTCTTCAGCCCACTGTCCTGCAGTTTCAAAGTCCACCACAGGAGAGGAAGATATTTCCCTTATATCTGCTGATGGACACCTTTCATAATCCTGATCCATATCATACACTTCATCCACTAACATCTCTCGTTCTTCACCAAGACATTCTTCCATGTGCTTCAGAATCTCATGCATTTCCCAGGATTCCTTATCAACTTCTGTTTCGCTCTGCATAAGTTGAAACTGTCTCCCCAAATCCAGGTTTGGCTCATCAGCAAGCTCTTCCAAGACGGGCTCATCAACAAATTCTTCTTCAGATTCATTTCTGAAGTCCTACACGAAACATCAAAACAGAGCTAATTAGTAGCGGATAGAAGATGTGTGTGTGCATGTGTGAGGGAGGGAGGGAGGGAGGGAGGGAGGGAGAGAGAGAGAGAGAGAGGCAGGCAGGCAGGCAAGCAGATAGATAAACAGATAGACGAAAGAAGGTGCTAGATCTGATAAAACATTTCCTTAGTTTTTTTAAAAAACATTAATTTATAAACATAATTTTACATTTTAAAGAAATGAGGCTACCTCTTACCTTATCCAACAATACTGGCATTATTCTACTAATGAACTTTTCAAGTTGCAAACTTTTGCCAATATGAACAAACCTGTCCACACCTGGAAGACTACCTGTAGAAACATTCTTCCCATCTAGATTTACAGAATGGCACCTCTTAGAAATGACTACAACTGATTCAAACAAACATTTAGTGTATCTCAATTCAACTTTCATTCTGAAAAAGCCTTTACATAGGACAAATGTTATTGTAATAGAAATATAAACCAATAGAAACCTTTGGAACTGCAAGGAGGATTGATGGCTCAATATTATTGATTGATTCCTGAGATACTGAACTTCTGTTAAATCTCTCGGGTTCCACATAAGAAGTCCCATTATGTTTATTTTCACCCTTAAAAAACAATGTCAATGTTCAGGAAAATATCAAATCCCAACTTTTTAAAAAGAGAAGACAAAGCAAGAAAGCAGCTTGTGGACAAAGTAGCTTCTAGAGCAGGGATCAGCATCTGTGGCCCCTTTACAACTTGTGGGCTTCAACTCCCAGAATTCCTGTGTGGGCCGTGCTCAGGAATTCTGGGAGTTGAACTCCATAGGCTATAAAGGGGCCATAGTTGCTCATCCCTGTTGTAGAGAGGATGCTACTCCAAAGAAGTGCAGAGAGTAAAATGGAATACAGGTAGTCCTCGACTTACAACTGTTAATTTAGTGACTATTCAAAGTTACAGCGACACTGAGAAAACTGACTGATGACCATCTTTCACAGTTATGACTTTTGCAGCATCCCCATGATCATGTGATCAAAATCCAGATGCTTGGCAACTGGTTCATATTTATCACCGTTACTATGACCATGTCATATGATCATACAGTATGCAACCTTCTAACAGGCAAAGTCAATGGGGAAGCCAGATTCACTTAACAAACAGGTTACTAACTTATCAATTTCAGTGACTCACTTAACAATTGAAGCAAGAAAAGTCATAAAATGGGGCAAAAATCACTTAACAAATGTCTCACTTAACAGAAATGTTGGGCTCAATTGTGGTCGTAAGTCGAGGACTACCTGTAGTCAGTTCTAAGAAGAAAATACATTAATACAGGAAATACAGAGACATGTGAAAAGAACTGTTAGATTCAATAAACCAGACATACGGGCAGGCTAAAATTATCCTTATGGTGCACTAATTTATTCTGTCTACTTTAAATTACTTCTGCCCACAAATTCCTATGTTAACAAAGTTAAGGAAAACAGCAGGGCAGTTTCCTAGCTCATCATTATCTACACTTTCCACTGGCTTAAGCAGCATATTTTAACTTTTTAATTAAATGTTAAAGTTTTGGGACTAGTGAATTACCTAGGAATATCTGAGGCTATAAGAACTCCACCGTTATGTTGTGATAATTAAAAAGAAACCACTGTGGACTCATGAAATAACAACATAGTCTGAACAGCCTTATATTTTAAAAGTTGCATAATATTTGCATTTTTGTGTATCAAATGAAGTTTTCACTCATTTGAGATTATGATATATTGTGGCAATGTATGCCTTGCAAACATTGCAAACAAATGATCGGCAAATAAATTTGATAAATAAATAAAGTACAATCCGATAAAGGAGAATATTTGTAACTCAGGGTTGGTCCTTGGTGCCCTCTGAGCCTGTTTGTTTTCTTGAAGACATTTTTCTTATCCAAACTAAGTAACATCATCAGTGCTAGTAAGGAGTGCGGCTTGCTCTCATTTTATATGCTAATTGTTTGGTCAATCAGCATTGGTGGAAGAGGTCTTGGTGGTTCTTTTGTTGGAGTATTTACTGTTAGCTTGTTTGGCAGTTCCTTCATTAGGGTATTGTTTACTTCTTGGTTGTTGGTTTGATGTTAATCTTGGTGTTAATCTATGCCAGGGGTGTCAAACTGCCAGCCCGCAGGCCGGATGCATCATCCGGAAGCTGCGCCCACCCCATTGCCGGCAATGGCAAAATCATCCCGATACGTTGTGTGACGTCATGTGACATCGCGAGTTTGACATATCTGATCTATGCTCATCTGGGTGTTGATTGATGGTGGAAAGGTGTTTGGTCTTTTTATTTCCGTTTTGGCTTGCTGATTGTCTCTTTTACACAGTATGTAGATGTTGTTTATGTCTGTGTGTCTATTGATGGCCAATTAGCTAGGCTTCTAGTGTTTTTGGACCAGGATAGACACAGCTTCTGAGTTGAAATTATGGTTAAGTCTGTCATATCTTATGAAATTAAAGAGTTTTCATCGTGTTTTCTGACTGCTAGTTGGTGTTTATGAATGTATTCTGCTGATCTTCTGCCTATTTCTCCTATGCTGTGGCTGTTGCAGTCTTTACATTGTATGTTGTAGATGACTCCTGTTTTTTTCTTCTGGGACTGCTGGGTCATTTGGACTCCTGTGCACATGTATATAAATAAATGTGTATTTTCTTTTAAAACAATATCAAAAAATCATTAATTGTGTAGTACTTTTAGGACAATAAAAATAGCCCTGCTCTGTATGTTTTTCTGGCTAGATACTAAGTCAACTGCTTTTGGCTACCTAAATGTTTAACAGTAGTATAGATCAGAGGTCCCCAACCTTTTGGGTACCAGGGACCAGTTACATGGAGAGAGGTTTTTCCACGGACTGGAGGGGGCGTGGTTTTGTGTGCTGTCTGCATCCTGCGGATGGGGCTTTCCTTGTTTGTGCGGACTGGTTGCTGGCATGCCGTGGACTGGTACTGGTCCATGGACCAGGAATTGGGGACCCCTGGTATAGATTACTGCAAAAAGAAACCTCTCAGCAGTTGCATTTACTCTTTTCTTTAATCATTCCACAATGTTAATTGTTTCTAGTGTGATTGCCAATGTTTTCTTAAATGACTGCTATTGGTTTTGTTTTATGAATTACTATTTTAATCCAACTGTAAATGTATATCTTTGTTTTAAGTGATAAAAAACTATTTCAAGAATCCATTAAGGCAAAACACTGGGATATAAATTTGAAGTAAAAAGGAGATTTAAAAAAGGAAAGCGTCATTTCTCCAAGACAAAATGTTCTTGTTTCTTTAGCATACAACATCTGGACCTCCAATCATGGCAAAACTCAGAAAGAGGATAAATCATTCAAAGAATTTATGGCAAATATATTTTGCTTCTATTAAAATCCTGGTGACTTTTGCTCAAATGTTAACCATTACTGACCTGGAAAATGCAAGTTATAAAACATAAATATAACATCACTTACCCCCAAAGGTTTGCAGATTCCAAGATGAACTTCACCAGGTGGTACAGATTTTAGAACTTCTACAGCTTCTTTTAGACTAATATTATGCAAATATACATCATTCACAGAGACTAAGCGGTCACCAGGGAAGAGCTCACCACCACGTTCAGCCACTCCACATGGCACAAGGGAACTGATCACAAATGCAGTCTTTGTTGGATCTAAGGGATCCTGAAAAACAAGCAAGAAGATGAAAAATACTTTCGTAGAAATGGTATTTCAAGTTCCCAGCTATATATGTTCACTCATCTGCAAAATATTCTGCTATTACATTGCCTTGATTGTGCTATAAAGTTATAAAAACATAAAAAGTACACCAAGCCAAATTGATAAAAATGTTAAGGAAGGAGAAAAAGGCAGGCATAAGACTGCCAAAATGTGCTTGAATTGGTAACTGTGGTTACACCAAACTGAACTGAATGTGAAACAGCAGCCTAATAAAGTAGCAGTAGAATATCATGATGATGATCAGGCCACAGTATAACAGTTCAAGTATTTAGATGATTACTCGTAAAGGTTCACTAGCTCAGACTTATTGGATACTGCAGTCTTCCAATTTTTATATATCTTCATTCTGACATTGATACGTAAATGCTGAGAATATTCGAGCACTTGCTAGCTGAAATATAAGGAAAGCAAAGTAGTGATTACACAATTTAGAAACATGCAATCTGAACACACTATAATTCATACTTTATCTTTACTTCACACAACTGCTCTCTTACCTCAGAACAAGAGATTCTAGGTCATGAGACCTTAAAAGCTTTTATTAAAATAATAAAAGCAGCAGCTTTATTCCCATTTCAGTTATTTAAAGTGAACAGAAGCAGCTCAGGTCTTAATTATTCAAAGTGACCCCTTCTACTGCAAAGAAGAAAAGAGATTCTAGGCCTGGCAATGTGGATGGATATAAAGAGAATATTTTTCCCCCTTCTCATATGCTTCCTGTCGATTTTCATAGCCCAATGATTTTCATTAGCCAAAATTATTATCAAGTGGCAGGGAAAGAAAGTTAACAAGTCATCCTTCCTCAGCTTCAGAAAGCTGGCTACACCACCATTTTGGATGGCGTTGCTTCGAATTCTGGTCAGTGTGGTTCAATTTTTAGCATTCAGGACTTAGGCAGCTTGTTCCTCTTCTGTCTTACATGAGATTTCCAAACCTACTTTGTACCCATTCTTCTAAATCTACCATTAGGGCTATACAGAAGTTTATTGGTTTAGTGTACCTCTCTCCATCCTTCCAATAAATATGAAACAGCAACAAATGTATATGAATGTCCAAGATATATATGCTGATTTCATTCACTGATAATGAGTTTGTCTTGATAATCCTGTTGTTTCCATTATTTTTATTTAAGATTGAAATCTGAACCATCTTGAAAATTATGACATACAAAAGCAATTATTTTCCTTCAGAAGCTCATGCTTGTCCCACTCCAATTGTTCCCGATAAAATAATGCTGTAAGTTAACCTGAGCTGAAAATAATTTGACCAAAACCACCTAAAGAGATGATGGTTGAAGATGGGCATGGATCTTAATCCTACTATTAGATATTAGCAGTGGAATCATACTATGGGCCAATTTAGCTCCAGATTGTTAACACTGATCTGTGAGCATTCTCTAGGACTAGATATTTTTTTTTGCCATTCTCAGAGGAATTCAGAACTGTAAGGTAGAATCTAGAATAGAATAGAGCTGGAAGGGACCTTGGAGGTCTTCTAGTCCAGCCCCATGCTCAAGCAGGAAACCCTATATCATTTCAGACAAGTGGCTGGCCAGTCTCTTCTTAAAAACCTCGAGTGATGAAGCACCCACAACATCTGAAGGCAAGCTCTCCCACTGGTTAATTGTCCTCACTGTTAGGAAGTTTCTCCTTAATTCCAGGTTGCTTCTCTCCTTGATTAGTTTCCATCCATTGTTTCTCATCTTGCTTTCTGATGCTTTGGAAAATAAATTAACCCCCTCCTCCTTGTAGCAGCCTCTCAAATACTGGAATGCTGCTATCATGTCCTCCCTAGTCCTTCTTTTCTCTAGACTGCAACCGTTCTTCATATGTTTTAGTCTCCAGGCCTTTAATCATCTTAGTGCTCTTTTCCCAAAGGCTACAGTATCAGGGTTGCAAACATCCAGATCATTACTAGAGGACAGCAAAGAGATATAGGAAAGTCTGATTTCTTCAGCCCACATAGGATAGTGATAGTCACTCCCTAATTCCAAGCCTAACATCCTCTATGCAAATCACACGGCCTTCCACTGAGCCATGTTGTTGCTGTTCACCTATAGCATGGGTGGGCAATTAATTTCCCCAAAGGTCCACATGAGAAATTGCTACACCCACACTGCCAACACTCCATCCCCCATGATGCCCCCCCACCAAGGCCCACCCCCTGCCAATGATGACTACCCCCCACCACCAATGCAGGTCAGACTAGAACCACCTACTGGCTGGATGTAGTCTGCGAGCTACAAAATGCCCAGGTCTGATCTATGGAATGGCCTCTGCAAAGATTCACAAAAGTTCTCTCATAGAAATATTTAATTTCTATCTTGCAATATTATTTCCTTAATCCATATTTCTACTGACCTCATTACTATTGTATTGAGGTTATGATGGTGGTGTCAGAGTACTTGTGATTCTTCGGATCTGACCATTTATTTTCAGAAGTAAAGACAGGAAATTCCTTATGACTGGAGAAGAATAGGAAATGCTTCATTCAAACCAAGGATCCTGGATATGGGATCCCAGATTGCATGTAGAGAATAAGGAATATGCTGAGCTAGGAAGCCAACTGAATAATGTCAAACCAGCTAGGTGCTTTGATTAACTGTACCTAAATAGTGCAGAGCTTTTATGCTACTATGTGCTAATATTTTACCGTCAGCAATTTTCGAGGGCAGATTTAAGAAGTGTTCTTATGCCAAAAGGTTATGCGGCTGTAATGATGGAACAGTCAAACCACTGGCCCATGTCTTATTATACTGTTTTCTATAGAGACTTGCACAACAGTTTAATAATGACTCTCATCATTCTTTTTCTGGATGATTAGAAGAATTTTATGTACATCAACAGAAAGCACGCCTTTGAATGCTCTGCTGAATTCTGATCGTTACTCTTTGCAATACTAGTCAGTTACCATAATAATGAAGATTTTATTTAGTCTACTGGGAATGGAAAATTTCTTCTTTGTGTCACGATTACCTAGCATGGGTGTAAAAAAATAATAATCCATAGTTGAAGGACTAGGCTCTAGACCCGTGGTGGCGAAACTATGGCACGTGTGCCACAGGGGGCACACAGAGCCCTCTCTGTGGGCACGCGCACCGTCGCCCCAGTCCTAGGCCTTCAGCTGGGTTTTATAAAACCTTTTCACTTTAGGCCTCCGCCACCATGTGCAAAAAAAATATGGTTCAATCAATCAATCAATCAATTTCAACTTCTCGTGGGGAAAAAAAAAGATCTGGCAAAGTTAGAATTGATTGATTGAACTTTTTAGTCCCGCCCAGTCTGCCGTTACCACTGCAGCAATGCCCACCCAATGGGCCACACCCACCCAGCACCCGACGATACATAAGTGGTTTTTGGGTTGCAGTTTGGGCACTCGGTCTCTAAAAGGTTCGCCATCACTGCTCTAGACACTAGGCTCTAGATCACTGTTTCCACAGTGATCAATCCAGGAGTTGATAAAACTGCTCTGGTACTTTTATAAGCATAAACATATAGCATAATATTAATAAGATGCTCTTTTTACACATTAGTTATTTTATTTCGGTCATTGACCAGCAAACTTTTTTCTACAGGCCAAAAGTTCCATTTTGAATAATGCCTGCTACTAAAATGTTTCAATATCAATTAATAAAAGATAGTCAAAGGATTTTAAATGTTCAGCTAGCAAACTTTGACAAAACCAATTAACTTCAAGTAGAGGGAGCTCTTGTACAGGAGGAGAAAAGCTAAAGACGAGTAAATTAATGCAGAAACAATCTTAATGCCGCAGAGAATTGGTTGTCCCCAAAACAGCTGAATGGCAACTAAGCTGAAGGTAAAGAGACACTCTAAAAGCTAAATGATAATTGAACAATAAAAGGACCAGAACCACATTTGAGTTCAAAGACTTTTTCTTAGTCCTTTCTTCATAAAATGTTTACAAAAAGGGCCTTATCTGTTTATAAATTTATTTTAAAAATGTATGACTCCTCTTCCATTTTGGGATGCCAAGTGATTCGCATCATCTAAAATTCAATTTAAAATTCAATACCCCAATTAAAAAAATTCAAAACTAACAGGATTAAAAATATCCTCTAACTTAAAAGGCTTCTGTAATAGAAATGCTTGAAGCCCTTTTCTGAGTTTTTAAAATGTGAGTCCAGTCTCAACGCCAGGTCATCCTGTAACTTAGGTCCCATCTCAAACAAAGCAGAAGTAGAAGCCAATCTTGACACTTCTATAGCAGGATCAGCCAAAGTTGCAATTATGTACGGGAGTAGATAGTCTTTTATATAATTTTGGCCTAAGCCCTATATAAATAAATACAAGTTGGGTTCAAATCAAGTACAGCTGTTCCATCATCATGCATCATCAGCCACAGCCCCCCTCCGCCATTACACATTGTGGGCAGCTGCAATTAGGACATCTTTGTGGCTCAAAAGCCACATATTAAGGTTACAACTATGGCTTATTCTTAAGAAAAACATTACCACTATCTTTTTTACTTGCTCCAGTAAGTTAATCTACATTTATGATTAACTGCAATTCATATTTTAGACAAATAATCATTTGTAAATCCACTCCGTTACTAAGAACAAATGAAAGAAATAAAACTCAACATATAGATTATACAGATGCTACTTCTATTTTGTTTTCAAATCCCAGGAAATACTGTGTTAGCTTCTGATTTCCTAGCTTTGTAGCATTTCATTGAACAAGAGATTGTGGTTTGTGGGTTTTTTGCGTGTTTTTTTTAAAAAACCAGAATGTTATTTTGCTCCTTTGTGTCTTCATGGCTAGATCTAACTTTACTATTACCAAATCTCTCTAGATAAAACAACAAAAGATTACAGAGCAGCTAAGAGTACACTACCAACTGGCAAATACTTTTTATATTACTGTCAGCTCTGTAAGATAGACCAGACAAAGGAACAGACATTGCATAAACCTTAAGCTACTTCG